TCATGTAGAGGTCTCTACCTGGGATGAAGGTCTGGGGTCCTCAGTGAGCTGAAAAAAAAAAGGACAAAGGAAAGCCATCTTGCAAACAAAGACTTTTTAGAGCCTTGCTGCCTTTAAAAACCTTATCAGAGATTGAAGGGAAATGTTTTTTTCTGACTTGATTTACAATCCTGTTTTAACATGAGACCTCTACATGATTGCTAATGGTTTGCCTTAATAGGGAAATATGAGGGGAAGGGGAATATATAAGTACATATTTCTGAGACTGTTTCCTCTCTTTAGGTCTGCCCTGTAACTGTGCAGATCAGTTTGTCCCTGTGTGTGGACAGAATGGACGCACTTATCCCAGTGCCTGCATTGCTCGCTGTGTGGGTCTCCAAGACCATCAGTTTGAATTTGGATCATGCATCTCAAAGGATCCATGTGATCCTAACCCTTGCCAAAAAAACCAAAGGTAAGTCAAATGGCTCCTTTTTTTTTAACCAAAGACTGCACTTACAAAGCATCCACCATGTGCCAGACGGTGAAAATACAAAGTGAATTAAAAAGTGGTCTCTGTCCTGAAGAGTTTGGAGTCTGGAGGGAAAGAGCACCATGTTAAAGCTGCTTGGTAATATGCTGTGATTGGGAGCCCAGAAGTAGAGCAGTTAATGCAGCCTGGGGAAGGAAGGGCCTGGGAAAGCCTCTGGAGGATGATACTCAACTGAATCTGGAAAGACGAGTAGAAGATTGCAAGCAAAGTTTACAGTAGAAGAAAGGTGGTGTTGGTGAAGGCACACAGTACAGGAGCAGAAATTGTGGCTGCTGGAAATGAAGAGATAGTGTGGTGTCTGCTGGGGGCCATAGCAGTTGTGTAACACTGAAACAGAAAGTGTAACATAAGGAGAGGTAGCAGATGAGATGAGAGAAACAGGTATGTTCTTATTATTAGCTATTTATGCCTGATAGTCTAGGGAAATTTTCTTATACTTAGATGCTTCCATTTTAGGAATTGGACATGAGAAATCTCTAGAAATACAACTTTGTTATTATTTAAAGTTATTTATTTCAGGCTTCTTTCTCTACAATTTCTTCACTGAGCTCAGAGGACAGTTGACCTGGCCTTAATGATGGATTTCTGTATGTGGTGTCCACTGGGGCAAGTGTCTTGTTGACCCTTTTAGATTGCAGCCTTTTGGAACTGGAGTTTTCACTGGCTGCCTCAGAGACCTAAGCAGAACGCATCCCAGTGCCACAGTCCTTTCCTTATGAAGGATTTTGTGGAGAATAAGCAATTGCTTCTCCACCCTGAAAACCCCGGTGCAGTAAAGAGGGAGGGGACAATTTTCTCATGTGTTAAAAAAATGGCAAAGAATTGGTCACCCATCTGCCAAAGTTTATACAATGAAAACTAAGCCAGGGGAGTTTCTATGGAAAGAAGACAGGATGCCATGCATTAAGAAATAAGCCAAAGGATAATATGGGTTGTTTTGGGGAAATAGAATTGAGGGTTGTTTTGGTACTGGTTTGTTCTTTTGTTTGTTTTTCTCTATTGGCCAACCTTTCTGAATAAGGTTTTCTTGCTTTCATAATAAAACAAAAAGAAGTCTCAAAGTGGGAAGGCCTTTCTGGGTATAATACATGAAAATCAAAATTTTCTGCATGGTAACAGACAAATGACAAACTGGAAATAATATCACAAAATGTCAGTGTTTTCACATAGTAGCAAATCAAACAAAGTTCATTTGGATGGTCAGCAGGTGGCTTTCTACATAGTTATTCAGAGACTTAAGATCGTTCCATGTAGTGACTCTGCCATCTCCTACAGCCTTGTAGTCCTCCTCTATATCTTCTGCCTCTCGCCAGCAGATAAAAGATGGGAGACAGTGGAGGTTGCTCTTGAGAAGCTTTTATGGGCCAGACTAAAAGTGACATTTATTACTACTTCCAGCCACGTTCTATTGTCTAGCACTCAGTCACTCAGCCACGACTAACTGCCATGGAGACTGGCAAATGTAATCTAGAAAGAAAATCAAATGAATTTGATGAATATCTGGCCAGTCTGCCACATGCTTAACCTTCCTCATCTTAAGGGAAATGTAAATTAAATTAAAACCACAATTGTGGGGGCCGGCCCGGTGGCACACTGCTACAGTGCGCCGCTTGGGAGCACGGCGGCGCTCCCGCCGAGGGTTTGGATCCCACATACAGACCAGTTCCCGCTCACTGGCTGAGCGAGGTGTGGGCGCAGCACCAAGGTTTGCGATCCTGTTGCCTGTCCCGGTCCGGTACAGGCGCGACACTGAGGGTTGCGATCCATTGCCGGACACGAAAAAAAAGACAAAAAGGAAAAAAAAAAAAAACCAAAATTGTATAACTTTTTCCCTCTCACAGTTGGGCAAAGAAAAAAATT